AAAGGAGCAGGAGGGGATCGGATTTCCCCCTCCGGGCCTGGAAGAGGTTCCCTTCCTGATCTCTGCAGGTGAAACCTCTGTTAGAGGGGAAGGGGGAATAGCGCCCGCTCTACGGAGAGCCCCCACCCCACCAGCCCGAGAGAGAGAGAGAGAGGAGGGTGCCTTCCACCTCTGTCTCTGAGCTACCTCTGGGGCCTCGAAGAGAACCCCACCCGCAGCCCTGGGGAGGGGGTGAGATTGTCTTGACTACTCTGGTCAAAATAATATTTCCTTGTTATGGCAAATGGGATTGCTTCGGAGCAGGAGGAAGTGTGCAAGTGCAGCTCAGGTGTACAAAACGTGGAGATCATTCATATGGCTTGGGGGGAGGGTTGCATAGTAGGAGACTCCTGATCCCTCCTTCAAGAAACATCTGCCTCCAGTCTCTGAGCATGAACAGAGTGCCTTGCGTTGACTTACAGAGGTCATGAGAGGCATTGGGTACATGGATGGGGAGGGAGGCGTTTCTATGATGAGGGAGAGGCCATAGCTCAGCGACAGATCTGATCCTTTGCGTAGAGGAGATCCCTGCTTCTGTCCTTGGCATCTCCTCCCAGACCAACCAAAAGACTTGGATAGACTCCAGAGAAGCTGTGGCCTTGACTGCACGCCATCCTGAACCTACTGCCCACCAGCTTCATTGAATGCCCTCAAGTTCTAGTAATTTGGGAGAGGGAGAAAAAGTTCTCCTTGTCAACTCTCTCCATTCCATGCATCATTTTATAAGCCCCCATCATGTCCCTCCTTAGGTGTCTCTTTTCTAAACTGAAAAGTCCCAGACTCTTCTGCCTTTCCTCACAGGGAAGGTGCTCCACCCCCAAGATCTTTTTCCTTCTCGGTCTCAGTAAGTTCAGACCCCATTAGCCTATAATTGAAGCTGGGTTTTTTTGTCCCAGTGTTCATCACCTTCAACTCTCTATCAGAGGTCTTCACCTCACTTCCTACCTGGTTGCTTTAACTGGAGATGCTGGGGATTGAACCCGCAGCCTTCATGTGTCCCTGGTATTTCCTCTCTGATAGAACAGTCTTCTTGACATTTCAGGACTGTGGAAGGCATTTTTTAGAAGGACATTTCTATGACGAATGAGGAATTGGAAAACTCATAATTAGAAACAACAAGAAGGGGGACCCCAATACTCGGGGGGGAGCTTTACGCAGAGGAGGAGGAGGAAGCAGCCGCAGGTAAGCTCCCCCCCCCGCACCAACGGCCACTAAGCCTTCTCCCTGCCCCCCGGCACCAATGGCGACGCCTGCGTGGCTTCCACTGGGCCCCCCAAGCCTTCTACCCCCCCGCACCGGCAGCGAGGCCTGTGCGGCTCCCGCTGGGTCCGCCAAGTCTTCTCCCCCACCCCTCCGGCACCAATGGCAAGGCCCGTGCGGCTCCCAGCTGTCAGGCCCGCCAAACTTTCTCCCTCCCCCCCCGTGGCGGGCAGCAGCGAGGCAGTTCTCAGAGCGTTCTCTCCGCATGCACAGGGAATGCTCTTTTACTTTTGGGGGGATTTAAGTATCCCCCCTATAGTTTTTTATAGATTTCAGATTTTTCTGCACTTCTGGGGATTGCCCCAAATGTGCAGAAAATTCTCTTTGCCTCCTAGGTGCCCCCGATGTGCGGACTTAAATATCCGCATGCATTGGCTATTAGTATATAGATTTATGCATTTAATAAAAAAGACACATATGAAAGCATATTGATACCTTTTTGCATATATTTTCTGTCTACGGGAAGAAAACTCACGTGATCTCTGTCTTTCTTATATCCTGTCTTTTCTGCAGGGAGAAGCTCAGTGTGGAAGCTCAGTGTGGAAGAGGATAACATATTCAAGAGTACTCAGTCCTGCAGAACCAACTCTGAGTGATTACTCAAAGCCAGAGATGGAGAAAGGCACTCCCATCGGTCCCAAAATTGGGGAAATATCAGAGGCGAGAAAAAGAGCCCCTCACGCCCTGCAGGCTGGGAGTCCTGGAGAATTCCCGCAAAGGAGACTTGGGGAACCCAAGAATCAGCAAGCCGGGGAGGGTCCCCTCTCCCTTGCCCAGTGGGAAGCCCAGTGGCAGCAGTTCCTC